CATCACATCTAATTTATAGTACTCTGCCCATCACAGAGTTCAATGGATGTGACCACATTATGGAATGTTACTAAATTCATGTGTTGAACTTAGACACTATATGAACCACATTCTGAAAATTATTTCTCTTAAAAACACCAAAGAATTCCAACGGTTATTGAAATAAATTTGAGAATTTCAATGGGTATTGAAATTAATTTGGGAATTCCAAAGGGTATTGAAATTAATTTAGAGCTTTAATTAATTTGGGAATTCTAAAGAAATAAATTTAATTCCCATCATTAACTAATTTGGGAATCTTAAAGAAAAAATCCCAACATATAATTCTACTTTATTTAAAAAATAATTTGATATGAAATTTAAATACATCATAAATTAAATTTATTAATACAAAATTTGATTAATCATGCTTTTAATTCATATTTTAAAGAAAGGTGATTCTGTATAGATTGTAATATTTATATTAAAAGTTTTTCAGATATTTTTTGTAAAATAGAACTAAAATACTACCTCTAGTTATTTTATTCAAATATTTTTTTTTTGTTATTACATAGAGTTGGGTACTAAATTATAATACAGGGAATTTGAAGATATAAAAATTAAACGCGAAGAGATTAATATGTAGCTATCAAACTCGACTCTATATTATTGTCTCTCTAGATGAGGAGATTTAAAAAACCAGTCACTAAATAGTTAATCTACTAAAAATCAAAAGAAAAAAAATCAGCCTTATAAGTTGCGCTTAAAACAACGTTTGCACTCTCATTGAATGACAAAATGTGCATTTGTAATAGATTACTTAACTATCTTTCAGGACACCGTCTTTGATTTTCAAATCCTGGAAGTTAAGTATGACGAAGAAGATTTGGCACTAATCTTGGTATGTTCATTGCCTTCATCATATACAACATTTAGAGAAACCATCTTGTACGGCGTGAGACACTACTCTAGATGAAGTATATGATGCTTTACTTTCCAAGGAGAAGATGAAACAACTTGTTGATGTATTTGCTGCTCAAGGAGAAGTCCATGTCGTACGAGGTAGAACTCAAGATAGGAGTTCTGCTGCTAATACAAAGAGTAGATCAAAATACAAATATAATGATAAGATATGCAATTGTTCTAAGAAAAGGGGCACAACAAATATGAATATTACAAATTACAAAATAAAAATAAGAAAGCAACGTAAAATCAGAAGGGCAAACAATCAAAATATTCTGATGAAACCAGTGTTGTTGAGGAAGCTATTGATGATGATGAACTCCTAGTTGTCTCTGACAAAAAACCTTGTAATGATTAGGTTTTTGATCCAGCTTGTACATTTCATATGTGTCATAGTAGAGATTGGTTTTCAACATATGAAACAGTGTCAAATGATACCTTGTTAATAGATAGTAATGTTAATTGTAAGATAATTGGTGGCAGAACTATTAGAATGAAGATATTTGATGGAATCATTGATACACCTAAAAGATATAGTATTTATGTACACATTTTTATACCTATTTTTGAGATATTGGCTTTAATGGAATGTATTTGTATGTTTTTCTTTTAGGTACAATCAAAAAGATGAAAAATAGTGAAATGAGTGAAAAATGATCAAATTTGGAGCAAAAATGATGAAAATGTGCAAAAGAGTTGTGGCGCCTAAAAGCCCAAAGCTAGCGCTTAAGGGCCAGAGAATGTCGCGCCTAAGCGTTGGGGACTTCACACTTAAGCTCCAGTGAAAGTTATTTGATGGTTTAATGAATTTTGATGAATTTTGAAAAGGCGTTTGAGGCACCAATTGGTGAAAAATAGTGGTTATAACCACTAGGAATGAAAATATATTAAAAGAACTTTCGAAAGGAGGCATCTCTTGGAAAAATTCATTGAATATGGACACATATTGAAGAGATACCAATACATCTTTTGGAAAACAATAAAAAGAGAGAGTTGGAGTGGATTAAGGGCTCTTCTAATCTTTTTGTTGCACTCTTCTCTGCATTTTAGGAGAGACTTTTAGACACCATTTGCATTTACCATTTTCTTTTTTTTTTTTTAGTTTTTATTTTGAGAGTTAAGAGTGTTGTAAAAGAAGAAGAGATTCAAAGGAACTTCAAGAATTTGGTGAAGGATTTGAGATAAGTTTCTATCTTTTGTTACTATATTTGGTTTTAATTTAGACTTCATTGTTGGTTTGACAATGATTTCTACTTTTTAAACTAGATTGTGATTGTGTTTTGTCTATGAATCCTGAGTAGTTTTCCTTATTTTTTTCCTTAAAATGACAAGTCATTAAAGTTTTGGATGGAAGTTATGCAAAGTATTGATCATTTATGCCGGAATAAATTATGATGATTTGAATCCATGTACTTTGTTCACTTCTTTATTTGGCCTATTAAGTTGTTAAAATTTATTGTGAGAACAAGTAAGATTCGTGATGGTATTGTCTTAGTCAACAATTGGTAAGAAACACATGAGATTGTATGGATGAGAATACAATTCATATGATTGAGTGCAAATAAATAGGGATATAAACTTTGAAGGGTGTAGAGTTAGAGGACTTTAGAGTGACAGACCAAAGCCCCCAACTTGGTTTATTATTTTAGGTTTTGATACGAGATGTTAGTTGTTATTTTAGGTGGAGGGAGAAGAAGGAACTCGAGAGTGCGAGCTGGTATCTTCCCCACCTAAGGTCTTCAAAACTATTCAAACTTTAAATTTGTCAATGCTCTTTATAACATCTCTAGTAAGGATAAAGGATAATATTGCTCTCATTTGACACAACAAATATGAATACTTTCACAACAGAATTCTTATACTTGTTACTTATTCATTATAAGGAAAAAGATATTTTATATTTAGTGATTTTATCTTACAAAAACTTAAGTTATATTTAGTTAGTTGTTATTTTATTTTCATTTATCAAAAATATTCAAAAAGAATTAAACTTTCATTCATGTGATAATATATATAGTTTAAGTAAGTGTCTTTTTAAAATAGAGGTTTGTTATCTAATTCCAGTGTTAAGAGTTGAATCAATCC